CTGGATTCATTTTCTAGATAGATTTTCTCGATGAAGCCAGGGTGATCTGGCTACAGGAGATCTGGTGGATATGGGAGTCAGGTGAACAGGATTGCTGGTAAAGTCCGAGGGCAGGTCTGGAAAGTTCCTCAGAAATGCATGGGTCTGGGGGAAATGAGAAGTGGCTGCAGGCCGGGACAGGAGGGAAAAAATAACTTGACAACATGGAATTGAAGAGCATTAGAGGTGCTTGGTAGGCTGCTTTTGTTCAGACAGAGCAAGGAAAACGGTTTCCCCCTGCTTCCAGTCTTTGTGCTAAGCTTAACAGATTGTGTCTGTAGCCTTCTATTCATTTTATTTCTACAAATCTTCTCATATAGAAATACATATTTACAATTACATTAGAATATTACACAAAGGTCAGTGCAACATGGGTAAAAATTAAATAAACTTTCAGCGAACCTCCACTTTGCTCGGACCACTAGCTGTACTGTTAAAAAAGGTCACTTCCTTGATGAGTGTCTATAAGTGACTGAAATAAAAAAAGAAATCAATCCAGATGGACATTTTTTGCAGAGCGCCACCGTTAGCAGGGCAGGTTTGGCTGGTCTCCATGTTCCACACTGGATGTATGTTCTGATGAAGCGCAGCAGAAACTGTTGGCTCAGCACTCTAAAAACATCAGGCGGAACAAAGAGAGACTGTCTAGTCAACAGCCATGGCCATGGAGCAGCAAGCACCTTACTAATCCTGATGTTAAAAGTAAACTTCACCAACTCCCAAAACACTCTTATGTAACCACCGATGGCTCACATGACTGGCCAGATATCAGCCGAGAACTCTGCCCCTGGTTTGTTTTCAGTAACTTATTCCCACATGCTATACAGATACCCACTTTATTTTGTAAAAACTTCACACTTGAGGACAAGTGGTGCAGATAAAATAATGAGCAGGCAAGAGAGAAAGTGTGAAAGCAGGAGAGAGACAAGTAACAGGAGAGACAGTTTTCTGGCCATCTCTCCCTCTGACAGCTTGGAGTCTTCTCTAACTCATTCTGACACTCTGGCTCATGCATGTCACTCATCTCAGCCTCTGGGTGACAGGTTGTATGTGAGTGTGTGAGAGAGCTCAGACTTCTCAGAGTCTCCATGTGCACTCTTATAATCATCTACCCTCTCTTACTGTATGTGCTAAAATCTCCAGCCAGACTCTGAATCACCCACCTCCTTCCCCAGCACTCTGACTCACACCTTAAGCAGCCTCATGTCCATTCTTTGCAGTATTTTTTTTCCCCACTCCTTCATTTTTGCTTACATTCTTTGCGATTTTGGGATGTGCAAACAGACTTGAGACAGGGGTCAAGGCAAGTGAGTCGATAGCCACCTGCTGGTCCTCAGAAACAGGCTCCAGGCTGTGTGTTGGGGGGTGGCAGAAGAATAATTAGTCTACTTTTAGCTCTGCACTAAAGACAGAAAAGATCAAATCAGTTCCTTTGATGCAGCAATCTTCAGTTATGAGTTAAACCTTGCATTGATAATTGCAGATGTTTGCTATTCAATTGCACAAGAAAATACTTTTATTTAGAAAGTGAAAGAAAGTGACACCCCCAGTGGTTGCATCCAAATCCAAATAGACTGCACAATCATTGGTCTGACAAGGCCGGCTTTATGGAGCAAGCTGTCACCTTTATCAGTGTGCCAGGGTTTCAGAAATCTATCCAGTTGGGTTTCTGAATATCAGAGGCTCACTGGAACAAAGAGCTGCTTCAGAGAAACAGGAAATAACAGTGACAAAGAGAGCCTGTTGATGAGAGGCACAGATCTGCTTAATGAAAACCACAGTTATATTTCCTGGTGTTGCTATTCAAATATAATGGAAACTACCGTATTGCTGTTATGATGTTGATGTGCATATTATCTGTTAACTCAGGCCATATAGTTAGCATTTGCTGTCTTTGAGAGCAGTGTCTAAACAGCAGACTGCAGGGATGAGACACCAACTAATTTTTCCCAGACTGATGTTGACTGTAGGACTGAGAGTCTAGGATTTGTCTAGAGTCATTGGAGGCTGTATGTAGGTTGTGGTCACAGTATATTATAGGTGAGGATAGATTTGTACTTCTACAAAGTACAGCCTCCATAAATGCAAAATGCATCCTTCCACGCAACAAAGAGCACAGAACCGTAACGTATATACAGTCGTATAGTGTCCATTAGCAGTGCTGTAGTCAAGACCACCTTTGTCGCATCCAAGACAGGTCCAAGACCAGGACTAGTCAAGACAGAGTCCAAATGAGATAGACATGTCAAGACTGAGACACTTAAAAAATAATGCTTTTGCCATTGCCAATGAGATGAGCATTGACATGGCAGAGCATCGGCACAGAGTGGATGTATCAAGTAATGTCAGCTTTAATATAAGCTAGGCTATAATGTTATGACTATGCTAATTTAGTTAACTTTAGCAATCAACAACACCAGTCTCTAGTTGGTATCAAAGACAGGATTGCCACCAACTGTCAGTAACATACAGAGGCCGTTTCCATGGTTACCATGTCTGCCTGTCTAGCCACATGAGGGAGCGATCAGAGCGAGTACACCGGCAGAAAGTCAGTTATCATCTGTAAAGACCTCAACTGTGCAGTTCCCCTCAGCCATAGAGAGAGTTTTATTGTCTTTCAGCTTATTATTTTGGCTTAAAGTTTTAGTCAATTCTTACCACTCTCATACATCGGCTGCATGTAGCTGCTTTGGCAGAAAGCAAACCAGAGCTAGAAGAGCTGGAAAAATGACTCCAAATGTATGGTAATTTTGCTCTGTGTCTGCTGAGTTTGAAGTGGAAAGTGTTTGCTAATATGTGAATATTTCTGTTTCATGTTTCCAGCTGTTTCTGCTGCCCCAAGTGGCCAAAAAGAAAAAACTTCTTCTTGAATGAAGCTGTACAAATGAGGAACACAGCAGAGTAATGGGAAATTTCTGTGGACAAAGACATTTGCCTTATTAGTTGTAAATGTCATATCAGGCTAATTATATGTACACGAAATGTCATTTAGCTTCAGATCATCACATGAAATGTCACTTCTTCTGCACATTCACATGAAATGCCACGGATAGGACTTCTCCCAGTTGTTGTAGTGTCCAACCTCTTGCATATATCTAGACAGACACAAAGAAGATAATGCAATGATGGTGTGAATTCTGCATGGTCACATAGCTGTCTGCTTTAATAAAATTATAATGACAACAAAGCAGGTGTTCCTCTTTGAATTTGGGCTCATCTGCTCTTCTGTGCTGAGCTCACTGGGCATGACGCCCCCCATCCACTCTCTCACTCTCTCTATCTCTCTGGACATACATGTGGAGGAGGAAGAGGCTGACAATGTACCCAGGCTTCAGGAGGAAAAAGTGAGGCATCTTTCCTGAGCTTTAATCATAATTGGAGTTATCTAGTGTGTAATTTGTGGCTGGGTGGCACCTAAATAAAACCCCCTTACATCCTCCCACTCCTCACATTCACACAGACACGTTAAGCTGCTGGCATTGCTGTATGAGGACACAGGCAGCCTTTGATGTTCTCCTCTATGATAAATTGGGACTGCAGTGGGACACGGCAGAAAACTGTGGTCAATCTGGACTTGTAGAGAGACAGTGTGCAAGGAGGTTCTTATCAGTGTACAGCTGTTTGATGTTATCCAGAGCAGATAGTCATTCCTCCCATACTCAGCCAACCACACTGGCAGCTCCAGGAAGGACGCCGCCCTTTGAATGTGGCTACGCTGCGTTTCATCTACTCCTCAGCTTTCACTTCTTCCGTGTGTGTGTGTGTGTG